CCCTTTAAATTCCGGTAATGGTTACGGGACTGATTTAATTTAAATTCCCGCGATTATAAAGCAATAAAAATTGTACTCATTTACTAAAATTGTTGTTATTTCTACAATTTTTGTGATAAAAGAACCAAATAAACGCTGCTTTTTTCTAGAAAAATTATAGAATGAGATATTGTGATTTACAGACTTTCTAAAATGTGTAAAATATTTTAGACTGATTCCAACTAAAAAATTCCCCAATTTGTCGTCTGTCTACAAGAATTCATACTGTTCTTGCAAGTATGAATGCTGCTCATGCGGCAACACAGCAGATGCTTGCGCTAGCCGAGGTTTAGGCTAGCGTGTATCAATGTTTATTCACGTATGTTCTTTCGGTATGCAGAGATGTGGGCGAGTATCTATTCGTTTACAAGAACACTGATTCTTTATTATCGCTTATAGTTACACAACAAGTTCTCTGTTCTCACTCTGCTGGCGTTAGTTATAAGAACTTTCAATGTTAGCGTCCTTATACCACAGCAAAGCAGTTTCAAAGCTAGCATTATGCGAAGTTGTGAACCAACCATTGCGTGGTCTCGTTAGGAAGACTCGGACATATTTCAGCTCATAAATGACTCCGAATCAGATTGTTGTACCGACAATTCTGAGAGTGGCGTTGAGGAAAGTGAATCAGAAATTGATTTCGACGAAGAACCATCATCTTGGTCGGCAACCTGGGGACCACCACACCAGCATGGCAAGAGGAATGTAAATAATTATTCAGGTGGAGCTGTGGACAAACTGTGGCAAACAGTTATTGCATCTGTCGTCGAACCTGGAAATGGACAAAGAAACTATTTTTCCATCTCCTAGATCTGAACAGTTACATCCTGTTGTCACACAGAGAATTTCGTCTCGCTCTTGTGCGGAACATGATGAAAGGGGTCCACCTCTCTCCCAACGGCCCAGGGGTCGAACCCCTGCCGTTTCATCGGAGATATCTGGATTAGAGGAGGCCAAACCACATCACTGGCCGACTTCCTCTACTTCGCAATTGAGGTGTCGTGTGTGATTTTCGCGTGGGAAACGAAGAACCGTCCGGACAAAGTGCGTGAAGTGCGACGTCGGACTCTGCATTTCCGGGTGTTTCCAAGAATTCCACAAGAATGCAACATTCCGTTAGATGACGCAGGTGGGAAGACAGACAACTTATAAAGCTGGTGTCCAAAAATCATGTAAGTAGAACAAGAATTTATATCTTAAAATCAGATTTTAAAAAGATGCGCACACGCGTGGAATGCGCGCTCTCATATGATGTCATTCGTCCCCTTGACTTTATTTTTGTGTCATCATATGAGGGCATTAGGCTCTCAAAGGCGCATATTTTAAGTGATTTTAGTTCATATTTTAAGTGTTTTTAGCGCATAAAGATCCGTGCCCTAGTCATTACTAATGACAGTATCCCCACCATGCGCCAGTAATGATACCTCGAAATCAGAAAATCCGGATTCGCATCATTACTGACCATCATTCCAGTTCCATCAACCTTACACAATCATTATTAATGTCATTCCGATCAGGTAATGACATTATTACTGATCGTGTAAGGTTTGCTTTACACATAGATCAGACCGGATCAGACCGACCAGACCACAGACAGCTTGTGTTGGCGTGTGCAAATGGCAGTAACGTTTCTCACAATGATGAACGCTGTTGAGGTCTGGGCCTAAAATGCCTAGAAGTGGAGTTCTTGATGCTTCTTTAATCGCCGTCAATGCGCGGTATGCAGTCCAGATGGCCCAGACAATAGTCGATAAACCGTAAAATATAATTCTATTTATACCGGTACTTCCTCCTTACTATTTTCAACACAGCTATAAATAATTTCGCATTACTGAGCCGTTTATTTTCTCTTATTTCTGTGACTTTCGTAGGTGGCTTTTCATTAAAATAACTGCATCTGATGGAACTCAAACTCCTGCAGCAAACATTATGGAAACATCACAGTATCTAGGAGAAAACACTGTCATTGGCACATAGTACCATTTCTTATACATCATAGAAATGAAATTATCGAAAAATATTTACACCAGAAGGAGATGAACTGTGAGCAATTTAGAAAATAAACACAAAGAGAAATTTTATTTTCTATACATGTCAACTACTGTTACTAAGATGGCAAAATCCTAGAGCTATGGAAGGATGACATGTAGGTAGGACGCCAGATATGGAATCCATACTGAAATGAACCTCAGGACTAAAATCATATATATAACCATGAAGAGTCTGTCAGATCATACTGACCTTCCCTGTAAGTCACGAATCTCCTTGCTGATAAAGACAATCAGTATGGAAGAAATTTCAGAACTGTGTTGACTGGATTTGTTAAATGTACCATATGGGCAGATCCCTTGTATTTCCTATACTTGCAGCTGCTTTCAATTTCCAAAATCCTAGTTTGTCCTAACCTGCCTTATTACCTTCATCATAGGCATTTTAGCCAGTTTTTATTCTTCTGTAAGCCCATCTCTGAGGTTGTGCCTATGCTCACAGAGCCACACAGACAGTATTCTGCCTGTTTCATCAATGTAACTTCTGCCACATTCAATGGGAATATTATAAGATGCAATGTGGCATCTGTTGTGGATTTCTTACTGGGCTGGTTCTCATGAGCGAACTCCTAAGGCTGTTTTTTTTAAGCATGTCCTAATATTGCAATGATTCCCTCTTAACTTCCAGAAATGCCTTTAAGTAGGGGTTAGAAACAGAGCCAGTAGGTTTTTTCTCTTCTTTCTGATGACTACTACCCTTGGAATTAAATATTAAATTATTATTGGGAATAAATATTGGGCTGAATATCATGTCTCTGGTTGTCAACTTCATTCAACAGACTTTGTCATTCTTGGTACACAGTAAAAACTGCGTTGTACAGGCTCTGAATTATTTCTCTCTTAACAGGTGACGGATGACTAGGGTCACAGTTGAGGTAGCAGGTAAGGTTGATAGGTTTTCTGTAACCTTAGAGGTCTATGTAAACCCTTTTCTGATAACAGGAACATCCAGAAAGGAATTGTGGTGTTTGATTCTGTTTCCGTAGTAAACTGGATGGAAGATCATAGACTACTAAGGAGAGGAAGATGTTCTGTAATCCATCTAGACCAAGAGGACAGACCACCAATGTGCCATCTATATGCCAGGGCAATCCACCATGTTAAGTGCCACCAACAGAACAAGGTACTGCCAGCTTCAGCTTCTGATATAAAAAAAATTATCCTTAATCTTTTGAGATACGTTCTCATAGATTCTGAGGAAGCAGTCCTTATGAAGGGNAAGACGAGGAAGAAGACGTAAGAAGATGCTGGATGACCTTGGGGACAGAAGAGGGTACTGTCATTTGAGGGAGAAAGCTCTAGATCGCATTAAGTGGAGGAATTGTTTTGAAAGAGACTGTGGACCTGTCGTCTTGACAGATTACTGATGATGATGATGTCCTAATATTGTAATGATTCCCTCTTAACTTCCAGAAATGCCTTTAAGTAGGGGTTAGAAACAGAGCCAGTAGGTTTTTCTCTTCTTTCTGATGACTACTACGCTTGGAATTAAATATTAAATTATTATTGGGAATAAATATTGGGCTGAATATCATGTCTCTGGTTGTCAACTTCATTCAACAGACTTTGTCATTCTTGGTACACAGTAAAAACTGCGTTATACAGGCTCTGAATTATTTTCTTAACAGGTGATGGATGACTAAGGTCACAGTTGAGGTAGCAGGTAAGGTTGATAGGTTTTCTGTAACCTTAGAGGTCTAAGTAAACCCTTTTCTGATAACAGGAACATCCAGAAAGGAATTGTGGTGTTTGATTCTGTTTCCGTAGTAAACTGGATGGAAGATCATAGACTACTAAGGAGAGGAAGATGTTCTGTAATCCATCTAGACCAAGAGGACAGACCACCAATGTGCCATCTATATGCCAGGGCAATCCACCATGTTAAGTGCCACCAACAGAACAAGGTACTGCCAGCTTCAGCTTCTGATATAAAAAAAATTATCCTTAATCTTTTGAGATACGTTCTCATAGATTCTGAGGAAGCAGTCCTTATGAAGGGTTTGAATTATGCAATAAGTAATCCACATTCTAACCTAGACATGACTTGTGCTGTTGAATAAGTTGTTCCAGAAAGTAGTTAAAAACCATAAAAATATTTGAAACTCAACAATTATATTAGGATTTTGCATGCAGAAAAAAGGTAGCTTTACTGCGATGTTACGTGAATCCATGTTCGCTAGACTCTGGGGGTTTACGAACCCTTGCCCAAAGATCCTACAGCAAAGTTATGAGGAAACAAAAAAATCTCTTTGCAAAACATGAAACCGTTCTTCCAACAGATCTAAAATGTAACTTGACTTCATATCATAGTAAATTTCCATATTTATATGGTCTTCCTAAAATTCACAAAGCAGATATTCATTTTAGACCTACAGTGATATCATTGGTTCCCTTTTTTATGCCCTTTCTGGATTCCTTCATAAAATTCTGTGTCTCCTTACTGGTAAATCAGAACCCTTCATGAAATACTTTTTCTTCACTTTATTACTCACCAGGAGGTACTCTACGGAACTGCTTTAAATGAGTCATGTGACATGCATAGTTGACAAGCATGAATTTTGTATGAGCAGAAGCTTGAACCACAGACCAATGAAATGTTGAATGGCTGAGTTTAGATTAAGTCAACATAATATATGGCTTAAAAGTAAAAAAGCTATCCCTCTAACTGGCTGTGAAGCCCCAAATGGTTGTGAGACATCGAGACTCCCACATTTTTGTGGCCAGTCAGCTCACAGGTGGTAGTAAGGTTGTCAGACTTATGTGCCGGCTGCCCTTTAACCCCAGGACGAATCCTGGTACTCATTTCTGTTAGAGGCTGAGTCGACACCAGGGCCATAGTGCAGCTGAAAGGATTAGGTAAATTGAAAAAAAAAAAATCCACCTCATCAAAACTCGAACCCGTGACCTTCCATCTTGTAGCATAGTGCCTCAACTGACTACCCTACCATGTGGCCCCCAATATGCAACATACAAGAAGTAATACGACGGTTGGAACTTTAATAGTGGCAACTGTTTATTTACAGCTATTACAAAATAGATGCATGATTTGAAGATTTACTGTCCTTCAATGTAGTCACCAGCATTGTGTAGAGTACTAGTATCTAGAGGTGACAGTCCGCCAATGCGGGGTAGGAGAAGTATTGGTAGTGGCGGGGAGAGCTCCAGCATGCCGACAAGTGTGGAGGGGAATGCAGTACATGCATTCTCAAATGGAAATAGCTTCTTACCTCATAGTGTTGCATAGTGATGGTGGTTTGGTCTCGCTGATGTTCACACATCCGATGTTAAGTTTTAAGTGCCGAATGGCAGACTGTTATGCACTATACACTATTATACAGTTTTCACTGTTATATACATGAAGAGTTTATTTACACATTACACAGGTCTATTCTAAAGGGGCAACACCGGAAATGTCCGCATAGATATCATCTCTACATGCCTATCCTTCCTCGTCACCACCAAATGAATCGGAGCTATCATCATTATCACCGCCAACATGGAAGACGAACTCCTGTCCTGCGTCCAAAAGGCCTTCCCGTGCCATTAATTGTTGCTCAATATTCCTTATATGTTGGCACCTACGTTGCCATTCTTCTGCAGTTATGGAAGCCAATTTTTGGTCTGCCAATTTAATGATGTCATCCATCTTAAATGTGGTATTGTTTTGAGCAACTCAAGTTTTTACGGTGGCCCATATTAACTCAATTGGGTTGAATTATGGGTGATATGGAGGGAGTCGTAAAATATTGTGATTGTGTTCTGCAAAGATTCCATCTATTTTATAGGAGTGGTAGGATCACATTATATACATCTGGATTCCGCATTTGATGACAAATCAGTGTTGTTGAAGATAATAGGTGGAAGGTGATATTTTAGCCAGGATATCACAAAATCTCTACTTGAATTTGAGTTAGGAGATCTGTTTAGTTGTACATTATGGTAGGGAGCATTATCGATGACAAGTACAGAACTTGAGGGAAGGTTAGGAATAAGTCGCTCCTTTAACCACTTTTCATACTTGGTGTAGTTCATGTCACTTTGGTAGTCTCCCGTTTTTTTTTTGTAGGATTTGAAGCTGACATAGACAGTGCTTGAGGTGGAATGAAAATAGAACCTGGATGGTTTTCCCCTTTTAATTCACAGACGTAAATTATGAAAATATACCTAGTGATGTATATAGTCTGTGTTCCTACTAAAACCTACGAACATATTACAGTAGTTTAAATGGCATTCGTTAAAATAAAGGCACACATGCATTCCGAGTACTTATCTTTAGAATATTTTCCAGATGTTTTCATTATTTTCTGAAGTCACTGATCTTCTGTCTGCGGGGGCTGCACAAGTCTGGTAACCTGCATGTCGACGTCCTTTCTTTAGCCATTTTTTTACATAATATTCTGCATCGAAAGCATTAAGAGGGGGTCCCACTTATGAAATAAACATTAAACTAGATGCTGTTTTTAAAAGCATTAAGCTTCGGATGGTTGAAATAATGTTGTTCATGTTGCTGAGTGCACGCTCACACTCTGCAGTTGAAATAATAATAGTATTTGCAGCTGCAATCAACGGCTTTAGTTCATCAGGATACATGTCGTCACCATTCATTATATTCATATAATACTCATGGAATCCATGAACTGAAGTTTTCTTACACACCATAAATGACTCAGAGAGTTCCCTAATCTCTTTATCAGCAAAACATGGAT